TCTCTCTCTCTCTCTCTCTCTCTCTCTCTCTCTCTCTCTCTCACACACACACACACACACAAGTTTTTCATGTCTTCATTTGATCTGAATGAAGGATAAAAATCTTTAACTATGATGGGACAATTCACTTCAAGAAGATGTTTGACAAGCTATACCAGGTATCTCCATCTTATTACAGTTTCATTTCTTGTCAGAGAATAGAAAAGTATAATTTCGGGCCGGGTCATACTTTACCCGTTTGCTTTCGTCCTCCCAGGCTGACTGGAAACCGGAGTCACCCGAAAAGTTCGGTGAGATCAGCCAACTTGTCAAGTCTGTTGAATCATTGAAGGTCCAAGAAACTAAACCGCAAGGTCTCGTCTCTCGTAACGCTTAAAACTCGGGCCTGATTATGTGCAAAATCCTGTCATTCTCTTTGTCCTGAACGAGTTCTACTTGCATATATCTATTTAGGACAAGGCTCGGCTCAGAAGAAACCGACTGCTTCCAACCCGACCGCACAAAAACCCGCTGCTTATCGTCCCCCGCATGCTAAGACTGCAGCCGCAATTCAGGCAGAGGTAGTTTCAGACCAGACTTTTATCTTTGATATATACCGATATGAATGGAATGGAGAAAAGAGATCCGGTTTGATCTCAATTCTCCAAACAAGCATACCTCTAGTTGCTTGCTTTCTTGTATCCAGAATCCAGATCCAACAATGGAAGGTTTTTAGTCGGTTTGGTTTGACATGACATGAAAGTACTTCTAGTTTTGGCATCTTAGATATCTACTTGTAGTTTTTTTTTTCTCAGTTTGTGTCCTCCTCTAACGGTTGTCATTGATTTGTTGTTGGCAGTTACTCGGAGGAAGCTCGTCATCGGGGTAAGTTCCTTTCAATGTTCATCGTCGCGTCATTATCTTGAGAATATTTGCAGTAACAATGATCGATTTCTTGGCCTAAAATGCAGAGAAATGAGCAAGAATGCTCTGAAGAACAAGAAGAAGAGGGAGAAACAAAAGGAGAAGAAAGCAGCCAACAATGCTTGATGACACGCCAAGACAGAACAGCAAATCTCGTTTTATGTTCTTTGTGCGTCTTTTTTCTTGCCGTCTTTGAGAAGAAAAAAATTTCAGTTTCTTCATGGATAACAAAGGCCATGAATCATATTTCCTATAAACCGATAAATTTTGTTGAACAAAATTGTCACAATTTCATTACAACATAATAGTTTTCATGTTACAGAAAGCTAGACTTAGGTTAAAGTGGTAAAGAATTATTATTTTTTTTTTTAATAAATCATTAAAATGCGATTTGGGGTTGCTAGTAACGTTACAATTGTGTTCTTGGCTGTGTCTACGTGTGTACGTACATATCTGTAAACCGAACCGACATGCCCACACTTCATATACATAAGGCACATTTATATACGTACATGCATACATGTGTATCTATATATCTTGGTTCCTAAGATAATGAACTGCACCCAAAGAAAAGAGCAAGAACAGAAGAAGCTATCTATGCATGCAAATGAAGCTACGTGTCTGTATTCCGACACCCCAATCTTACATGTGTCTCTTTCTCTCTCTTCCGCTTAGCTTCTTCAACATCGATCACTGTCTCTCTCTCTCTCCTAAGTCTTGTTCTCTTCTTCTTCTTGATCGTCATCAAGAACCAGCAAAAAAAACACGCACAGAGATTTTGCAGAATCGATTGATCGAAGGGTTTAATGGCGACATCGGCTCGTAGAGAGTATGTGTTCGGTAGAGCGGACGAGGCGACTCACCCTGACTCCATCAGAGCCACCTTAGCTGAGTTCATCTCCACTTTTGTCTTCGTCTTCGCAGGGGAAGGCTCTATCCTTGCTCTCGGTATATATATATACACACACATATATATCCCTGATTGATCTTCTGTTCAAATTCCATTGAGACAACCTTAAAAAAATATCACTTTTGATCTGTGTAAGACATATGCATATTTTTTTTTTTTCTGTTTTTCATGGCAGACAAGTTATACTGGGACACTGCTGCTCACTCGGGGACGAACACACCTGGTGGACTCGTCCTGGTCGCGCTGGCTCATGCCTTGGCTCTCTTTGCCGCCGTTTCAGCCGCCATTAACGTCTCCGGTGGCCACCTGAATCCAGCCGTCACTTTCGGAGCTCTGATCGGAGGCAGAATCTCAGTGATTCGCGCCATTTTCTATTGGATCGCTCAGCTTCTTGGGGCCATCCTCGCATGTCTCTTGCTGAGGCTCGCTACAAACGGCATGGTAACGTTACATTATTCATCTTCACATATATATATATATATATGATGATGATGATGAAACTTTTGACATGCAGAGACCGGTGGGATTCCACGTATCTCATGGAGTTGGCGAAGTTCATGGGCTAGTGATGGAGATCATTCTGACATATGGTTTGGTTTACACTGTGTATTCCACGGCCATTGATCCGAAGAGGGGAAGCATCGGGATCATAGCTCCGCTAGCCATCGGGCTCGTGGTGGGGGCTAACATCCTGGTGGGTGGGCCATTCGAGGGGGCGTCCATGAATCCGGCTCGAGCCTTTGGCCCTGCGTTGGTCGGATGGAGATGGAAGAGCCACTGGATCTACTGGGTCGGACCGTTCATCGGTGGTGGCCTCGCCGGTCTGGTATACGAGTATATGATCATTCCGACCGAACCAGTCCACCACCACAGCACCACTCACCAGCCCTTGGCCCCGGAAGATTACTAGACAGTTCCGGTTCGTGTTTTCTTGGTCTTGTTCTTGTTCTTGAATGTATGAGAAGCACTTGCTTTGCATAGAACCCTTTTGTTTGTTTGCTCGTGTTTTGTCTGTTATCTGTTGTAATTTTGAGTTTGCGAAGCTTATTTGTACTTACCCTTTGTGATAACATCAATAAATTCCGAAAGTACCCTTCTTCGTGTTGAATTCCACGAATTTTTTCGTGGGTTGGGTCGGGTCGGATCAGATTCCGGTTTTAATTTCATTTGCCTAATCTGGATCTATAAAAATACTGCTGACAAAATTACAAGGATAAGATAGATAATCCTCGGTTTTAATTTCATGATGGTAGTGATCAAAGTCCCAAAAGGCTTTCCATGTTCCTGCAGCAAAATTAGGTGACGAGAGGATTATAGAGAGAAAGGACAATAGTTTTTTTTCCGACCAAAACATCAAGGGACAATAAAACCAAGTCTTCTGTCACAATCAGAGAAAAAAAACACGAGCTCCATACAGATTATGCAAACCCGATGGTTTTTTCATATTCCCTCTTCAAGAAGCTTCGGGTTTGGGCTGAGTTTCTTCGGCAGGAGGAGCAGCGACGCCCTTAGCCGGCTCTTCAGCAGCGCCCTTAGCCGGCTCTTCAGTAGCGCCCTTAGCTGGCTCTTCAGCAGCGCCCTCGAATGTTTCTCCGGCTACAAGCTCGGGGACATCGTCTTCATCTTCCTCTTGAATAGTTCCCACACCAGGAGGAGCCTGTTTCTGGAACTGCTCTGCCAGCTTTTTCAGGTTGTCCAAATTATCCGGTCCTGTAAAATTCAATGGCATTATTAAAGGATCACCCATTTCACAAGATAAGAGGCTATATAAGCACATGTACCAACTGTCAATGGTGCATACCAAGTTGACTGATAATCTGAGGAAGGATGTCTTGCAATTCTGCAGGAAAATTAAAAAACGTTTAGATTATAAATTGTGACCAATGGGTACCACATAAACCCGATAGCTTAGACTCGAATCAAGTACTTTTGGTCTGAGGAGAACCGCTTACAACCCACGTGTTTGCAGCGATTGAAGCTTGAACTGCATTGCCATTAAACCAAACCTCATTAATACACAGAACATGATCGAATCTTTCAAAAACATATCATCAAAATGGACTTAAAACTGAATTTTACCCTTAGGGTTGATAAACTGAATAACTACGTCGTCCTTAAAGATGTTAACTTCTTCGATTGCTGGAATGGCATTCACTCCGATTCTTTTCAATGTGCTCTGAAGCCTCTTGTCATCTGTTGTAGTAGTCTTGTGCACTGCCTTCTTCTTTCTACAATGATATAATTGTTTACAAAATATGATCTCAGAATGCATAACACCGATTAAATGACCGCAAGATTATTATAACGAAATTCGTATATAATGGCAAACCGCAATGTATTTTTCATCAGAGCAAGTCCTGATACCTTCTTACTGTGCCCTTTCCGCCAGTGCGGACAGTGTTGGCCATCTTCATCAACTTTTCCCGATTCATCTGCAAATCAACGCCAAAAAACACAAAATCATAAGCCAAAAACGTATTAAAGGGAGCATAGATAAGGAAATGATAATACCAGACGAACTGATGCATTCATACAACAGTAAGACCTTTCCATTTTCCAGATTCAAATCAGCAACCATCATTAAATCTTCTGTAGCCATTTCAGACGTTTCTAACTTAGTAGGAACAAGAAACACAGCACCAAGAGCACCATTCATTCAGATGTATCGAACAAACGAATACACACACATACATCACAAACACAGTTTCCGACAGAACCGCAGATCAAATCCAAGTTTCGATTTTCAATTCAAAAGTTTAGCTAACGCTACTCGTTCCGCGCCTTTACAAGTAAAATTCACAAAAGATAACACTCACAGTATTTGCTAGAGTCAGACACAACCCTAATTCCATCGTCAAACAATCTAAAATTAGGCGCGACCCAAAAGAACGAATCCCTACGTACGATGAACATGAGAGGAAAGAATCACGAGAAAGCTAATACCTCGAGAGATTTGATTTCTAGGGTTCTACCTTCTTCGAAGGGTATAAGATCAAGAACCCACAGAGAGCGGCGCTGAAAGGTTTTTGCCCTTTCGCTAAGTATGCACGACGCCGTTGTAAAAATGACGCCAAAGATTATTTATTGTAATCAACGGTGGAGATCGAAACTTAGAGACAGCTTTTATTCTCTGCCGTTCGATCATAAATGGATCCTCGAGATTGGATTATGGCCCATGGGCCCAAGTCCAGCCTTCTATGCTGTGGAGACCAATTTGTGTTCACCTTTTTTTTCATATGAAAACAAAACAAAAAACCGACAGGAACATAAAAAACAAAGAAGAGGAAAAAAGAAACATCCTTCAAAATTTTTAATTAAAAAATATATCAAATCATAAATTGAGGGGACCTATATGGCGGTGGTCCAATGGAACAGTAAATAAATTTTTTAAAATTTTTGAGTATTTTATTACGTGAAATAGTGAATATAAGGTGAATATCGAATTTAAAAATAAACGAACACTTTTCATTATTCCTAACACTTAGATAGAATACAGGTACACCGACCACAGATGCAAGAGTGACGAACTCTCGCAGATTTGAATTGCTTCTAAAGAGTAAAGATAGTGAAGTAAGAGATACAACATGGATCCATAACGTAGATCATACATTTTCTACTTGATTCGTTGAGCATTGCTCTGTTAATAGTTTTTGGAAAGGAGCAACCACATATCCCGACCAGTTTTGATATAGAGTAGGTTCTCGACAATGTGTTCAGCGACTGAATTCATAATCCAACATACAACAATGGCATTATTGTGAATCCAGAAGCGATGAAGAGGATCATCTTCAGCGGGCATGGTAAAGAACCATAGACGAAGCCGATTTTGTTTTGACCGTCATTCTAAAAGATCGAATCTAGGAAAGAAAATCAGCGGCCTCGATTAAAGGTTTTGTGATAAGAGTGATGTGATGCGTATTTGGAGCGGTCCACACATTCATGTTTTCCACATGTTCGACGGAGACATTGAATTTATCATTATATTATAAAACCATCTGTATTTTTTTTTTTTGGGGGGATTTCCACTTTAATATCCGAAAATTTAAAATTTAATGTAGATTTATGTAATTAACAAAAAGATGGTAGTTGAAGGAATCTCTCTATAAATAGCCTTCCGTTTCTTGCAAATGCACTCACGAAAAAAAAAACACAACCCAGAGAAAGACTACGATGAAGCCTGTTTTCTCCTTTCCTTTCGTCTTCATTCTGCTTGTTGTGTCGGCAGCTGGTCCTGTCCGAGGACAAGAAGTTCTCGACACTTCAGGCAACCCTGTCGAGGCTGGCGTTCAGTACTATATCATACCTGCAAAGTCCGGAAATGGCGGCGGTCTCGTCCCATCGAGCCGAACCTTCAACCCACAACAGTTATGTCCGCTCGACGTGGTTCAGTCGCCACTCCCCTTCATCCCCGGGTTGCCCGTCACGTTCACCGTCCTGAACAGTGCGGACAATGTCCTGCAGCTGAACACGAACCTCAACGTTCAGTTCGAATCCACCGTCTGGCTCTGCCCAGAAACCAAGGTGTGGAAAGGAGAAGACTTTGAAAACACCGACGAGTATGCGTACATAAGCACTGGCGGGGAGATAGGTGGTCCGAACAGCTGGTTCAGGGTCTTGAAGTTCGTGGATGATTACAAGCTCGTGTTCTGTAAGGACGGCACCACGTGTCACTACGTCGGTACGTACAACGACGGGTTCGGCGTCCAACGACTGGTCGTCGGCCACGAGATCTTGGCCGTGAAGTTCCAGAAGGTGTCCGGGACGAGCGTTGAGGCCGAGAAGATGATGCCGAGGATGTTTCCTGCGTATTAAGTAACGTTAACTAGTGTGATCCATGAAGTTATATATGCCCAATGGTTGGTGGGAGAATAACAACTTTATGATAAAAATACGAACTATAAATGAAATAAAAAAACATGCGTACGTGCATGTCATGGTTAACTTCTCTATAAACATGCGTCCAGGGTTTTCGACCGTAACTCACGACCGAAGTTTTAATTATCCAATTTTGTGTCCAGTTATCTCGGTAATCCTCCATCTTAATGATGTTTATCAAGTATTACAACCAAATCGTTCTAAGAGGATTTAACACTTGACAAGTGCATAATTATAGACAGGATTTCTCCGGGAATCAATATTTATTTAATTATAAACCAACAGATGTTAATTAATTTACTAGGAAAGATGAGTCAAATACGCGGTAATTTTATAGCATACCCATTTAGCTAAACGTGGATTTTCCATGAATCTAACATGGTAAAATCGTTAAGAGATATAATTGAATTTTTTTTTAAAAAAAACCATATATATTTGAATCTAATTCGGAATTGAGGTCTTCCACGTTTATCTATAGTTCGTGATATTGTCAGAATTAATGATGATTAAGAGAATAAATTTAGGAATAATCTATTGACAAGATATAATTCTAAATTAGATAACTTAAATTGATATATTAGATGGTAATGCACATACAATATGATGTTGTTAGTCTACATGGTTTCTTTTTTAAACAAGGCATTAATCTCCCATTTGAAACAACACTCATGTCACCAAATGGCATGTATTATACTTTGTCTGCAGATAAATATATTATCTTTATCAACCATTACATTCAATGCTGTCTACTGCACATTATTTTAAAAATTTGATATTAATTTATCGGTATAAAAATATTTTTAAAAATTAGGATATAAAACCATTCTATAGCTGTTTTTACAAAATCATTCTCTTTTCTTTTTTTCTTATTTTTTTAGAACAAAATCACCTCTTTAAGTTTTTTTTGTATTTTAGGCAAAAATTCATCATCCTAGCATTTTTTTCTATATAAAAATATACATATACCAAACCAAAAATAGTATAATACGGTATTTATATAAACAAAACGATGATGTCTAACAAAGTTGTGTCGCAGCAAAATGCATTCACCCATGGCATTTCTTCACCCTTTTTTTTCACATGGAAACAAAACAAAAAACCGACAGAAACATAAACAACAAAAGAAGAAGAAAAAAAACATCCGTCAAAATTTTTATTTTAAAAAATAACTTATATTTTAAAGTAATATTTTACAGTAAATAAATTGTACAGTAAATAAATTTTTTGAGTAATATTTTAAAGTATAAATTTGATTACCATATATATTGTGGCCTGTTTTTGCTTGTCGACGTTGAATTTGAACCAAGTTCATAACGATAAGAGCGTGCTTCCATTGTCGATGGACAGTGGATGTGTACTCCAAGTTTCCAACAAAATTAGAAATTAAATATGTTGTTATTATTTATTAAATGAAATAGTGAATATAATGTGAATATCAAATTGATGATTGATCAATCGATAAGAAATAGGCAAAAAATTCTTCTCAACCCGGATTCGAGTCTTCAAGTGACATTCATGTGGGTTTCCCTGATCTATGAATTTAAAAATTCCGACAAATTTCCAGATTATACAAAAAAAAAACGAGTATCAAATTTAAAAATAAACGAACACTTCTCACAAAATTAGTCCACAAATTAAAAATCTTTAACGTGCTATGGTATCTCTACGATTATATATATATATATATCATGTATTATATGCATATCTTTCAAACCCTAGTATTATATAGAGAGGCGGTATAGCAATGTCTTTCACATTTTTAAAAATTCAAAGTATATATATATATATATATATATATATACACGACGGCCCTATGATTTTAATTGATACGTATTTTGAGCGGTCCACAGTCCACACATGCATGCGTTTCACATGTTCGAAGGAGGCATTGATTTTGTCGTTATATTATAAAAACCACCTATATTTTTTTGGGAACTCCACGTTAATATCCAAAAAATTAAAATTTGACATACATTCAATAACTTGTTTATTAAGTTGTTATTGTTAATATTCGTATTCAGAGTTAAGGTGATAATTAGTTTCGATAATTATGTAATTAAAAAAAAAATAGATGGTAGTTGAAGGAATCTCTCTATAAATAGCCTTCCGATTCTTGCAAATGTATTCGGGGAAAAAACACAACCCAAAGAAAGGCTACGATGAAGGCTGTTTTTTTTTTTATGAGAACGTGCTTCGTATTACTTACCAAAAATGTGTTTTAAAGACTCCCAATGGTTAACAAAAACAAACCAAAAGGTAACCAATTTCCATGATGATCGAATCACTACTGGACCCAATAACTTACAAAAGCTAACGCTAATCTTTCTCGATCAATGTATGTGACATGATACCAATACTCAAGCAAACGACATTGTGTGCCATCTTGATGTGCTACTTTAGAAGCTAGGAGTGTGTCTGGCATTGTGCGATCTATATATCTTGCATCGGATTTCCTGCATAGTCCATGTCTTTCCCCTGAAGATCCTATTGTTACGCTCTCGCCACAGTTCGTAGACAACCATTTGGGTCAGAAATTTGGCAATAACTGGCTGACCTCTGTCCGTAGCGTGCCCCGAATCGTCCACCTAGTGCCGACAGTCTCGCAGCGTGTCCGGAGGAAATGGCCAACAAGCCCTTGCCATCGTCTTCCAGATCTGAGTGCTAAGAGGGGCATGTGAAGAACAAATGGTCGTGAGATTCGTCCTCCGCATTGCACAGGGTACACCGCGTCGTTATCTGCATTCCCCAGGTCGCCAAGTGATCAGCTGTCGGAAGTCATCCTTGGATTGCCCTTTTTCAAGTGAGGACTCGAACCCGGGATGGAATGAAGTTTGTTTTCTCCTTTCCTTTCGTGTTCATTCTGCTTGTTGTGTCGGTAACTGGTCTTGTCTGAGGAAAAGAAGTTCTCGACACTTTAGGCAATCCCGTCAAGGCTGGCATTCAGTACTATATCATATCTGCAAAGACCAGAAATTGCAGAGGTCTCGTCCCATATACAAAAAAAATAGTCATATATCGACCGAAAAATCCGTCGCAATTAAGAATTTGCGACGGACATATTTCCGTCGCTATATCGTTGTCGCAAACTATAACGGTCGTTAATCTGTCACAATTTTTGCGGTGAAAAAAATATGTGTTTTGTAACGAAAAGTGATGGATAATTCAGTGATATTTAGGATTGAGGATTTATAGGTTTATATATAGTTCGTGATATATATTCTCCCAAATAATGATGATCGAGGGATTAAATTTATAATAACGTAGTGACAACTACACTTTTACAGAGTTTTAATTTGTATTTCTGTATTGAAAAAAATTAAAATTTATGGAATAGCATACTCACATTAATGGGTACATTTTTTTTTAAAGAGATGTCACTTTCGCCCATATATAATTCTAAATTAGATAACTTAAATTGATATATTATATGGTGGCTTATAATGCACATACAATATGATGTTGTTAGTCTACATGGTTTCTTTTTTAAGAAACGATTAATCTCCCATTTGAAACAACACTCGTATCACCGAATGTCATGTATTATATTGTCTGCGGATAAATATACTATCTTTGTCAACCATCTCATTCAATCCTGTCTGCTGTACATTAAAAGACAATACTTTTTTTGGTTAATTTTATGCATTTCCGTTTGATTTTAAAATTATGATATTAATTTATTGGTATAAAAATATTTTTTAAAATTAGAATTAAAAACTAAAAGCATTCTATAGTTTGTTTTTACAAAATCATTTTCTTTTTATTTTTTCTTATGTTTTAGAACAAAATTACCTCTTTAATTTTTTTTTTTGTATTTTAGGCAAAAGATCATCATCCTAACATTTTTTCTATAAAAAAAATACATATACTAAACCAAAAATAGTAAATTGATTTCGATAATGCATTCACTCACCCATGGCATTTGTTATTGTATATCCGAAAACCCTAAAAGGCTCTAGTCACCGGCATGACTGAAGTTAATTATACCATAAGATATGTTTTTATATAGAAATTAGGTAACCCACCATGTCATGTCATCATGCCATGCCATGCCATGGGCATGCATGGATGTTTTATTTCATTTTGTAGTTCATTCTATCGGTATTATCAAACATTACATAAAGGCAGGAAACATTCTCAACGTTGTCTTCTCAGCCGCAACGTTTTGAACTGAAGACGCCTTCTTGAACTTCACAGCCAAGAAGCCATTGCTAAGTATCAGTCGTTGAACGCCGAGGTTGTCACCGTACGTACCGATGTAATAACATTCAGTTCCGTTCTTGCAGTACAGTAGCTTGTAAGCATCGTCCCCTTCGCTCCATATCCTGAACCAGCTGTACGGACCTCCTATCTCCCCGCCAGTGCTTATATACGTGTAGCCATCCCTCTGCAAAGATCCATCTCCTCTCCACACCTTGGTCTCGGGGCAAAGCCAGACGGTGGATTCGAACTGAACGTTGAAGTTCGTGTTCAACTGCAGGAACTTGTCCGTACCGTTCTGGACGGTGAAGGTGACGGGAATGCCGGGGATGAAGGGGAATGGGGACTGAACCACGTCGAGCGGACATAGCTTTCTTATGTCGAAGGTTCGGCTCGCAGGGACCAGACCGCCTCCGGTTCCTGTCTTTGCCGGTACGATATAGTACGGGACACCGGCTTTGACTGGGTTGCCTGAAGTGTCGAGTACTTGTCCGTTGCAGACAGAACCAGGTTCTGACACGGAAGCCAAAACAATGGAAACCAATATGATGGAAGGAACTGATAAAGTAATCTTCATTTTTAATATTTCTTTTTTTTTTTGTTTTTCCTTCTTTGGTGTGATTTGTTCGTGCGTACGAGTGTGCTATTTATAGAGAAATTTATTTTTTATTAAAATACCTTATTTCTCAATAAAAGCATTAAAAAAAATAACAATTTAATAAACAGAAACAGATACAACTTTGATGCCGAATTTTTTTTCTTGTAATGTCGAGGTTTAAAGTAGAAAAAATATATTAAAATCTAATTTGTTACGCTTCAGTATATTAATATTTAAAACTAGTATTTTAATATTTGGACTTTACATATTTTGCACTCTTTGGAAAAAAAGGGCATGGTCTTAAAATGAAATACAAGCTTAATGAATATAGTTTCTAGAATAATGATATTTTTATGTATTATTCGTATTTCTAAAGATATTTGCTGTCACCTATATATAAATATACTGTATACACACACACATTAGATACATATTTGTATACACAGACAGTTTTTTTCTCCCTTTAACAGCCATCGATCTATAATTGATTGTAATATTTACTGTTTGATATAATTAACAAAAATCGGCGAAACATATTAAAATTTATATTTGTTTAAATTTTAATAATTCAATTTTTAGCATTCAGTTATTAAAATGAATAAATACAGAAAATCGAACAGCAACAACGATAATAATAAAATAAAAATAAAAGTGATGCATCATGTGGTGTGTGTGATATGTTTGGCTTTTTCACGGGACACGTGTCACACGCTCCATTTCTTCTTGCCTATGCCCAAAAAGTAAACTTTACACGTCCCATTAAAAATCGTACGGCACCGTCTGGCCACCGAATTTAATTTATGGTTACAACTTACAACTGCTAATTAAATTCGGCCATTGTCGGTCCAAATCCTGCTTAATTACATTATTATAATATATACACACACACACTCTAATGGCACGAGGATAATAGAGAGGTTAATTTTATTTTGTTGGAGTTTAATATTGACTCGAATATAGGTGAATATTTTTTAATATTAAAAATAGATAAGAATAAATAAGATATAAATATATCTTTTAATTTAATATTCAATATTAATTTATATAATTCTTGGATGAACTCGTACACCATAAACAAATAAAGAATCATAAAAAAAGGTCATAGAGGATGAGAATCCGCGTGAAGAAAACGTGCTGCCACGGAGACAACAAATGTTTTGGGCCATAATTGGGCCCACGTTCAGTTTGAGCCCAATATCCCATTTTATTTTGTCTATCAACCCAATAACCCATATTTCCTATATAAGATTTAAATTCTAATTTTCAAATTTTCAGTAGATCAACTATTAATTATTAGTTCTTACACCTTTATGAATATATTTTTTTCTTTTTCTTTTAACTTGACTATATAGTGACTGTCCCCGTGTATATATGTATATTATGCAACTTATCAATATGAATATACACTTTATAAGAGTATGATTGAGATCCTACACTCTATAAATTCAAGATATATAATAAGGTAACATTCGAAATCTTTTTTAAAACAAGATGTTCCTTTCTCTACATCAATTCTTTCCTCACAAAAGGACATTATTCTTCTCGCCCAAAAAATTCAAACCAAACAAGAGAGAGAGATTCAAAGTCAAAGGATCCAAAGAGACCGGAACATGAAGACGAACAACGCAAAATGGCCAAGCAATTAAATTGCATGCAGAAGCAGAAATTAGAAGAGAGAGAGAGAGACACGAAACTGAAAAAAAAAATGAAAACAAAACCCACAAAAGAAGAAGAAGAAGAACCAAGAAGTCAATGCCCGAACCATACAGAAGACAGAGTGCATGGTGCGTTCTTGACTTCCAGCTTCCATCATCAGTAGAAGACAACATAATTAATGATTCTTGGCCTTTGAGCGACGGAGAGAAGAGCATCACTAAACTAACACAACCTCCCTCCATCCTCCAAGCATTGAGGGAGAGGGAGAGAGGTGGTGCTGCTTTTAATGGGACATTAACTCTCTGAGATCCTGTCAAGTTGTAGAGCAGTTCAAGGCTGTCTTAATCTGATGGACAGTTGTGTTGATGAGGTTATTGACCGTTGTGACTGACTCCATGTTCAGTTTAGCAGATGACAAACTGCTCACCATTATCTGAAACGCCACAGTTATCAACGACCCTCCACCAAAGCTCGATGATGACCCACAATCTCCTTGATCCATGGCTGTGATTCTGCTATTTCCGTCTGGTGAGATAGTGAATCCTGATGGCAGTAACGGAATGAACAAAGGGTCTTCCCCACTCATTGCTATCTGCAATGCAGGTTGCTCCAAAGGGCTGTAAACCACGAGAGCGCCCGATGAATCTATGCAGCTTTCTTGTAGGATTAGCATGTTGTTTTGTGATGAGTTGAATGCCTGGTTTCACGGTAGAAACAACAAACCGCTGTTAAGGATAACTGAAGAATATAATGGAGATGAGGGGGATGTTAAAGTAAAAGCCTTTTTTTTTACTCGAAGAACAGATATGCAGTTTCCAGGATGTGGCCCGTTTTGGATATGGGCAACCTCTTGCAATGCATTGCCATCTGAAATAACATCCCACTGTATGAACAGATATATAATTAGAAAGATCCTGAAACTGTCACTCCAGTTGCAGTGAGAATAACTGTATATATATATATGCTTCATACAATATGATGCTTAGCACCCAAATGGGTTTGGTTTTGGGTGATGAAACATGTACCTGAGGTCGGTTTCTTTCATCTTTGAGGAAATTGAAGATGTGCTACCTTAGAAGCTAGAAGTGTGTCTGGTATTGTGCGATCTATCTTGCATTGGATTCTGCGTAGTCCGTGTCTTTCCTCTGAAGATCCTATTGTTACGCTCCCTCCACAGTTCATAGACAGCCATTTGGGTCAGAAGTTTGGTAATAACTGGCTGACCTCTGTCTATAGTGTGCCCCGGATCGTCCAACCAGTACCGACAGTCTCGCTTTGTGTCCGGAAGAGATGGCCAACAAGCCCTTGCCATCGTTTTCCAGATCTGAGTGCTAAAAGGGGCATGTGAAGAACAAATAGTCGTGAGATTCGTCCTCTGCATTGCATAGGGTGTAGAAGTTTGTGGAATGATATCTTTATTCATAATCAGAATAACATATAAATAGATGAGAGTCTTACATTGAATAAGTAAACTAAATAAAATAATAAATATTTCTAAATATATATTTTCCGGATTTGATAAGATCTCCAATATACGATATAACTCGTAATATTCTTCAAGATCCGTTATATCTCAACACAGGGTACATCGCATCGTTATCTGCATTCTCCAGATCGCCAAGTGACCAGCTGTCGAAAGTCGTCCTTGGATTGCCCTTTTCCAAGTGAGGACTCGAACCCGGGTTGGAATGAAACTTGTTTTTTCCTTTCCTTTCGTATTCATTCTGCTTGTTGTGTCGGCAACTGGTCTTGTCCGAGGCAAAGAAGTTCTCGACACTTCAAGCAATCCTGTCAAGGCTGGCGTTCAGTACTATATCATACCTGCAAAGACCGGAAATTGCAGGGGTCTCGTCCCATATACAAAAAAACAGTCATATATCGACCGAAAAATCCGTCGCAAATATAAAGAAAATCCGTCTGTCGCAAACTATAACGGTCGTTAATCTGTCGCAATTTTGCGGTGAAAAAAATATGTGTTTTGCAACGGAAAGTGACGGATCGGATTGAGGATTTATAGGTTTATATATAGTTCGTGATATTATCCCAAATAATGATGATCGAGGGATTGAATTTATAATAACCTAGTGCCAACTACACTTTTACAGAGTTTTAATTTGTATTTCTGTATATGAAAAAAATTAAAATTTATGGAATAGCATAACCACATTAATGGGTAAATTTTTTTTTTAAGAGATGTCACTTTCGCCCATATATAATTCTTAATTAGATAAATTAAATTGATATATTATATGGTGGCTTATAATGCACATACAATATGATGTTGTGAGTCTACATGTTTTTTTTTTAAGAAACGATTAATCTCCCATTTGAAACAACACTCGTATCACCGAATGTCATGTATTATATTTTGTCTGCGGATAAATATACTATCTTTGTCAACCATCTCATTCAATCCCTGTCAACTGCACATTAAAAGACAATACTTTTTTTGGTTAATTTTATGCATTTCCGTTTGATTTTAAAATTATGATATTAATTTATTGGTATAAAAATATTTTTTAAAATTAGAATTAAAAACATAAAAGCATTCTATCGGTTTTTTTTTACAAAATCATTTTCTTTTTTCTTATGTTTTAGAACAAAATTACCTCTTTATTTTTTTTTGTATTTTAGGCAAAAAATCATCATCCTAACATTTTTTCTATAAAAAAAATACATATACTAACCCAAAAATAGTAAATTGATTTCGATAATGCATTCACACATGGCATTTGTTATTGTATATCCGAAAACCCTAAAAGGCTCTAGTCACCGGCATGACTGAAGTTAATTCGACCATACGATATGTTTTTATAAAGAAATTAGGTAACCCACCATGTCATGTCATCATGCCATGCCATGCCATGGGCATGCATGGATGTTTTATTTCATTTTGTAGTTCATTCTATTCCATTACATAAAGGCGGGAAACATTCTCAACGTTGTCTTCTCAGCCGCAACGTTTTGAACTGAAGACACCTTCTTGAACTTCACAGCCAAGAAGCCATTGCTAAGTATCAGTCGTTGGACGCCGAGGTTGTCACCGTACGTACCGATGTAGTAACATTCAGTTCCGTCCTTGCAGTACAGTAGCTTGTAAGCATCGTCCCCTTCGCTCCATATCCTGAACCAGCTGTACGGACCTCCTATCTCCCCGCCAGTGCTTATATACGTGTAGTCATCCCTCTGCAAAGATCCATCTCCTCTCCACACCTTGGTCTCGGGGCAAAGCCAGACGGTGGATTCGAACTGAACGTTGAAGTTCGTGTTCAAGTGCACGAACTTGTCCGTACCGTTGTGGACGGTGAAGGTGACGGGAATGCCGGGGATGAAGGGGAATGGCGACTGAACCACGTCGAGCGGACATAGCTTTCTTACGTCGAAGGTTCGGCTCGCAGGGACAAGACCACCTCCGGTTCCTGTCTTTGCCGGTACGATATAGTACGGGACACCGGCTTCGACTGGGTTGCCTGAAGTGTCGAGTACTTGTCCGTTGCAGACAGAACCAGGTTCTGATACAGAAGCCAAAACAATGGAAACCAATATGATGATGGAAGGAATTGAGAAAGTAATCTTCATTTTTATATTTCCTTTTTTTTTTGTCTTTCTTTGGTGTGATTTGTTCGTGCGTACGAGTGTGCTATTTATAGAGAAATTTATTTTTATTAAAATACCTTATTTCTCAATAAAAGCATTAAAAAAATAACAATATAATAAACCGAAACAGATACAACTTTGATGTAGAATTTTTTTATTGTAATATCGAGGTTTAAAGTAGAAAAAATATATTAAAATCTAATTTTTTATGCTTCAGTATATTAATATTTAAAACTGGTATTTTAATATTTGGATTTTACATATTTTGCACTCCAATGTAAATGACTGCGAGTTTATCCTCCTTGGGAAAAAAGGGCATGGTCTTACAATGGAATAAACGCTTAATGTATATAGTTTCTAGAATAATGCTATTTTTATGTATTATCCGTATTTATAATAGATATTTGTTGTCACCTATATATATATATATATACTGTATACACACATTAGAAACATATTTGTATATTTTTTGTGAAGATGTATACATTTCTTCCTTAAACAGCCATCGATCTATCATTGATTCTAATATTGACTATTTGATATAATAAAATTTATATTTGTTTAATCTTTTAATAGTCAGTTAGTAGAATGAATAAATACAGAAAATCGAAACAACAACAACGATAATAATAAAATAAAAATAAAAGTGATGCATCATGTGGTGTGTGTGATAGGTTTGGGCTTTTCCACGAGACACGTGTCACGCCTATGCGGCTATGCCCAAAAAGTAGACTTGCCATCCCATTAAAAATCGGACGGCACCGTCTAGCCACCGAATTTATGGTTACAACTTACAACTGCTAATTAAACTTGGCCATTGTCGGTCCAAATCCTACTTAATTGCATTATTATGATATATATATATATACACACACACACTAATGGCACGAGGACAATAGAGATGTTAATTTTATTTTGTTATAGTTTAATATGGACTCGAATATATTTGATTTGGGTAAACATTTATATTTCTTTACGGGTGAATATTTTTTTAATATTAGAAAAATATGAATAAATAAGATATAAAAAAAAGGTTACAGAGGATGAGAATCCGCGTGATGAAAACGTGATAGAGAGAGCAAATGTATTGGGCCATATTTGGGCCCACTTTTAAGTTTGAGCCCAACATCCCATTTTATTTTGTCTATAACCCATATTTCCTATATACGATTTAAATTCTAATTTTCAAATTTTCAGTATATCAATAAATTATTAGTTCTTACACCTTTATGAATATTTTTTTCCTTTCTGTTTCTTTTAACTTTACTATATAGTAACTGACCTCGTGTATATATATGTGTGTACATATATATATATATATATATATATATATATTATGCAACTTAACAATATGAATAGACAATTTATAAGTATGATTGATATCATACACTCTACAAATTCAAGATATATAACAAGATAACATTCGAAATCTTTTTCAAACAAGATGTTACTTTCTCTACAATTATTTCCTCGTAAAAGAGTATTGAGAGGTGACATTATTCTTCTCATCCAAAAAAATTCAAACTAAATAAGAGAGAGATTCAAAGTCAAAGAATCCAAAAGAGATCAGAACATAACAATGAACGAAACCCACAAAAAAAAAAAAAGGAAGAAGAAGAACAAGAAGTCAATGCCCGAACCATACAGAAGACAGAGTGCATGGTGCGTTCTTGACTTCCAGCTTCCATCATCAGCAGAAGACAAAACAGTTAATGATTCTTGGCCTTTGAGCGACGGAGAGAAGAGCATCACTCAACTAACACAACCTCCCTCCATCCTCCAAGCATTGAAGTGGAGGGAGAGAGAGAGAGGTGGTGCTGCTTTAAATGGGACATCAACTCTTTGAGGTCCTGTCAAGCTGTAGAGCAGTTCAAGGCTGTCTTAATCTGGTGGACAGTTGTGTTGATGAGGTTATTGGCCGTTGTGACTGACTCCATGTTCAGCTTAGCAGATGACAAACTGCTCACCATTATCTGAAACGCCACAGTTATCAATGACCCTCCACCAAAGCTCGATGATGACCCACAATCTCCTTGATCCATGGTTGTGATTCTGCTATTTCCGTCTGGTGAGATAGTGAATCCTGATGGCAGTAACGGAATGAACAAAGGGTCTTCCCCACTCATTGCTATCTGCAATGCAGGTAGCTCCAAGGGGCTGTAAACCACGAGAGCGCCGGATGAATCTATGCAGCTTTCTTGTAGGATTAGCATGTTGTTCTGTGATGAGTTGAATGCCTGGTTTCACGGTATAAACAACAAACCGCTGTTAAGGATAACTGAAGAATATAATGGAGATGAGGGGGATGTTAAAGTAAAAGCCTCTTTTTTTTACTCGAAGAACAGATATGCAGTTTCCAGGATGTGACCCGTTTTCGATATGAGCAACCTCTTGCACTGCATTACCATTTGAAAGAACATCCCACTGTATGAACAGATATATAATTAGAAAGATCCTGAATCTGTCACTCCAGTTGCAGTGAGAATAACTGTATATATATATGCTTCATACAATATGATGCTTAGCACCCAAATGGGTTTGGTTTTGGGTGATGAAACATATACCTGAGGTCGGTTTCTTTCATCTTTGAGAAAATTGAAGATGTTTTGTGGAGAAACTGGGAGCCAGAAGGTGGTAGCTGCACAAAGGACAGTGCTATTCGGCTCGGGACTCTTGTGTGCAGTAACACGAACTCCAACTTCATTTAATCCCGAGACAGTCACTGAACTGCTGTTGTTAGAAGTGCTGACACTTAAACAAAAGTTTCTCACCATCCTCTGAGCAAGTCTCGTCATGCTTCTCTTGCCTTCCACCGATGTGATCACTGAAGGGTTTCAAAAATTGCTGGAAGAGGTCACAGTATAAGTGATAATAAGATCACTAACAATACATGTTCTCGAAGCTTTACCTCCTCCGAGATCACGGGATGAAGTTCCTGACACCAATAGGGAAGCAAATCTCTCGGACATTCTTTGAAGAACGGTAACCCATCTCTCTGCACCGAAAGCTAGCCCAGTGTGAATCATGTCTCTGTAAATCTCATGAACCGGTTCTTTCTCTTCAACATCAACATGTTCAACCCAAGTAACCTGTATTAGTAAGTTGAACACATAGTTAGATTATCCAGTGACCAAATCAATTCTCAGCTACCAAAATGAGATGATATAATTAAGGAGAATATATAAATAAAAAAGAGGGGAACTTTTTGCTTCAAAGTGACAACCTTTGAGTACCCATTATGCATGTCCTGAATCACGCATCCAGAAGGAAGTCTACAAGAGCGAGAACGGGAAACAAACTGAGGATGTTCATAGGAGATATTTACGACAACCCAAGTTGCCAGTTCGATCTGTTGGCAATACCGCAGCATATAGAACTCTCGAGTTGCCACAAGGGGTGAAAGCACATGTAGCTCTTCATACATCTGAACAAAAGCAGGCAAATAAAACATGAGGAACTAACTCCTAATGAAGATCCACATGATATTACATTAAACGATGATCTTTCGGCTGGAATACTTTGTACCAAATGCAATGCACCCTCATGGGTACCATTCATTCCTGACGAAACGACTGCTAGGGTTTTAGATGTTGCTACAATCGTGGGGAAAAGCTCCGCCCACTTGACCTGAAAGATGATTAGGATGGCGGAAAATTCAGAAACACTACTCATTGTGGAACCTTATTTTTCATTGGATTCTGAGACACTTACACAGTCCATGAACATGTCAACAAGTGCCAAAGCATTCATGAAAACAACACCAGAAGACCTAGATGCTTCTGTTCGAACGTTAGGGTTCTTCCCATGATTACTTGCTCTTGGAAACATATTCTCATAGCTTCCAAGGTTGAGGATTTCCCTGCAGCCATCGTTTCTCGTCCAGAGAGGTTCGTTTGTTTGGAGAAGTCTAAGCAATTCTTCCATTGCAGAGACAGCGATATCAGTCATAAGGGGTTTATCCATATCCGATAAAGCACAGGTCGGTTGGGGTGGCTGGATAGGAACAACCATTGAATTTCCAGGGAGAAGATCAAAATCAAGGGAAGGACCTTCCCCCATAGCCATTGACAAGTCCAAAGGTGAGATGTTCATTGGCCTTCCTATGTACTTTGCAGCAATACTTGACATTCTTTCAAGCTGCAACAATGAAAATCCAACAAGCAAAAGAATACTTAACCATGCATCATCTGAATATCAAAATCTGCAAAAGAAGAAAAAAGGAGAGAACCTCGTCTCTCAATTGTGCATTTTCTATTCGAAGTCTTTGCTCGTCGAAGTAGGGGTCCTCACTAAGAGGAGGGCCGCCACAGTTAGGGCATATGGCATTCTTGAGGGCTTCTCTCATGGCTATGTTTTCACACCGTATCTTATCGTTCTCCATTCTCAATGCACAATTATCTGCTCTCTCGTGTTGTGCCTGCAAACAATGGTTATGATCAAACCCCTCTCTCTTCTTCATTCTTCTTCAGGTAAACATAACACATTGAATTTTATATAGAATCCGAAAACTCTCCAGAGAATACAGATGAAGAAAGCAAAAATGTGGAAAAAGCTTCATGAAGGAGGCAGTGCTGGACAAGAGAGAGAGCATGTTCCAGAAACCAAACCTTCATCTGAGTTCTTCTGTTCTGAAACCAAAACTTGATCTGTCTTGGAGCCAAACCCAATTCTCTGCTGAGTTGCAGCCTCTGTTTCTCATCTGGATGTGGACACTCCTTGAAAGTTCTGCACTCCAAATAACAAAAAAAGGAAAATAATAAAGAAAAATCTTCATGGCATACGAAAAAACACTCACAGAGATGCAATATGGGACTATTACGCTTCAAGACGCTGAATCTGGTAAGCTGTGTGACGGTGATAACGCTTCTTCTTCCGCTCGGCTTCTCTTCTTCCTCCTCTGCCGCCGCCGTCGAGATGATGGCTTTCCCCGCTCCCCC